AAAAAATAAAAATAATGGTTTTTGTAAGCAATGATGGATAGTCACTAGCAGTGAAATCCAGAACGCGCGTTTCGTCTTATCTGGGACTCGTCAGCTGGATGTACCTGTATCTCAAAGTTAATGTTCACTCTGAGACTTATTATTATTATTTTAATGTAATCTATTTAATGAATTTTAAAACAGTCCTAATTAGATTCACTTGGTATTGTTTACCTGAATCTTTACATTGACACTTATGACTGCAGTTGATCAGTTTCTTATTGGCATATGTGCATACTGTGTGGATTGCCACGATATTGCCTTAATTCACAAGCATTATAAGGAAAGAAGGATAGTGACTAGCAGTGAAATGTAGGACGAATTGTCCCACCAATTATGCAAGTCAATCATTTACTTTAATAGTGTAACTTATATTAAAGGAATTCGTTTCCTATAACAAACTGTTATATGTACTACCGTACATTTTGTTTTAACGAAATAATACTATTTTATATAACATATGATTGGTAGATAAATCTAACTAGTTTTGACACATTTCTTAGGTAGGATAAGGTTACATTCAAAGCTTCAGAATTTATTGTAATCAGTAAACAGTAAAGTGTAATTCTTGAAGAATGCTGCTCAAATTCATTTTCTCAAAGATCCGTTTATTATTGAATTTTTGATTAGGAACAAAATGTTAACGAATTAGGGATTGATTAAGTCCAATGTCAGGTATTAGTGTTATTCTTAAATGGTTGAATAAAATGTACCTATACTTTAGGATCCTAAGTAAAATTTATTGGTATAAAGAAGGGAAAATACATTACTGTGAATCAGTTCCTACATAATAGTTTATATGTCTTTCAAAGTTTTCATTTATGTTTATCAGTATTGATTTAAAGAGATTGTTATGCCTTTAGGCTGAAAATCATTAACCAAACAGTTTCGCTTTAGAATAATATCTACGTATTTTCATCTTTCTTAATAGTGATATCAATAACAAAGGTTTATTCTTATATGAGACTCATCAACTCAACATAACTTAATTCACGTTGGTATTCAAACTGAGATTCGAACATAATGTGCATCACTTTATAAGCCAGAGATTTATTTTTAACAGAACTTTACGTAAAATGGTTCTTCTAACTAACTTTCGAGACACCATAATCAGTAGTGACCATAATATCAGGAGTAAGACATTGAATCTCCGATGACACTAGATGATAATTATGCTATTGATTAGTAATTGACTGAATTTAAATATATAGAATAATGAATATAAACCTATGATTTTAAAAACTTAATGTTTTCACAAAACCAAAACCTTCAGTTTTGAATAACTTAAGCGTTTATGTATATGTATCGACCAGTGATTACAGCCAGGACTTTCTCACTATCGATAGTTGAGTGCAAAAGTCGATTGAGAAACTAAACTCATAATTAAAGGTTTTAGTTGATAGATGAAAAACTGAAAATATTTATTCATTTTGAGAATTCCGCTGATTCCTTTGATTATAATTATAATCAAGTATTGATTCCTATGTGAATTATGTCCATAAGTTAAATAAGCAAACACAGATCTTTAAATTGAATGATTTTAACAGTGAAATTAATAATTTTTTGATTAAGATCATGAACTGATTTATGTTAGACCACCATTGAAAACCTAGAAACATTGGATGACCGTTTAGTCCCATTGTGAAACTTCTCAGCAGTACTCATCTATGATTTCGCTCACAGGATTCGAACTTAGGTTCCAGTGCTTCCAGGTTTTTAATGATAATCTAACATCAGTCGGTTCACGATCTCAATCAATTTCCACAACCCTATACAAAAAATTAATAATTCCCAATTGTTTTTTACATTTGATGTGTCGAATGATAAATAAATAGATAAATGAAGTATTTCCATTTTATTTTAGTTACCTAGTACTTTTTTCGATGAAAAAACATCATCTGAGCACTAACCATCACACTAAACTTTACATTATTGATTATCCATTCCATGTATTTTGTCACTGATCCCAATGAACGTCACAATGTTATACATATATGAAAACAATATCAGTGGAATTCTCTATTACTATGCAAAATTTCTTTCCCTTTTTTTTGATAGAAAAAAGTTATTTTGACTACACAACTAACCAATCACCCACCCACTTACCCACCACCCACAAAAACATCAATCCAAATACCGGAAGGTCTGGTCAAACATTTAATCATACATCATTTCGTATTCATATTACAATTCATAAATTAAAAAAAATAATAATAATCGAGACTATTTTTACATTTACAGTTAACAGTAGTTGAATAATCTATTCATGTTCAAAATTACTTTAATTGTGATTTTGTAATAGTTTTATGCTTTATGTACAAATATAGTTAGTTTTATATGGAATAAGGTCGCTAACTACATACTGAACTCTCGTCATTTATCCAGGTTTGGAACTGACAATAGACCCAGATGGGCTTCAGGTGGATTGTTTAATACTGGAATATACCAGTTTGGAATGATTATTGAGTTTAATTGATAAAATCAATGAATGTTTTTAGTATATGAATAAATGTTTATGGAACACATGAGACAAAATCATTGAATTGATGATAACAAAAAATTTGCTTAGTTTATCTAAATCAGCTAATTGTAGATTTATCAAGTTGAATTTAACGAGTTGTATGATATCTTAAAAGTAAATAACTTCAGTGTTTACAGAAATATAGTGAATTTTATATAGTTTTCTTCATGTCATTCTATTACTTCTGTGCAATAGCTTGTTAATAAGTCTTTCAGACGACTTTACATGATAAATAGATGACTTTGAACAGGTTAAATGGATACTACTTAATGAAATTTATTATTCAAAAAATGAACCTACATATTTCCATCTATTTATTTTATTTCATGATAGTAGGCTTATTTATATTAACTATACTTATAGTTTTATGAATAGCTTAATATAAGTTGAAATAAGATGAGAATAATCACTGAAGAGTAGAGCTCGCACACGAAACTGATAGGTATTGGGTTCGAATCTCTCTAGGCGTGATCGTCAATACGCACTGATGAGGAGTTTCATAGTAGGACGAAACGACAGTCCAATGCTTCAAGATTTTTCATGATGGTCTAATCTCCAGTGACTCATGAATTCAACTATAAAAATTATTATATCCACAAAACCCCTTCTGACAATGTAGTACAGTCCGAAATTACTTGAAATTCACATTGTTATACATATCACATGAATAATGAAAACTTGAGATGATAATACCATAATTTATGGACGACCTTAAAGCGATGCTAAAGTAACCTTGAGACTGTCCACCTAATAACCAGAACTAAATGAGGGTTATAAACAAGTTTGAGGGATTAGAATTATGATTTACATTTAATGGTTAAGATTATGGATGAGATATAGGGTTTTCATTACGAACTGACATCAGTTATAATGTCAAGACTCTATTTAGCCAAATGGATGAATGGATTTTGCGCCAAAATCCAAAACTTGTTATCACATATTTGATTGGTTCGTTCATAAATTATCGTCTCCCCATTAAACTGGTCGAAATGAACAAATCGGTCAATTTGTATGGTGAATAACGACTTAAATTTGCATTGTTAAATATGTATTTTTATCAAAATGGGATTTGTGGAGATTGTAGTAATTTTAATAGTTGAATTCATGAATCTATGTAAGCTAGACCGCAACTGAAAACCAGGAAGGTTGTTTCGTTCTAGTATGGGACTCCTAAGGAGTGTTCATCCACGATCTCGCACGTGTGATTCGAACCCAGAACCTTCGGACTTGAGCGCGAACGCTTAATCTCTAGACCGGCATCCAATGGTGTCAATGTCAAACTTCCATCGATCCATGAATAGCTGTACAACCATTCATCCATTGTCCGAAGTAGATACCTGTCTCTACCCGACACGGGTTGAACCCCATTGGTCATGAATTCAACAATTAAAACATGCATTTAACATAAAATTCTGCAAATTATAACTAAGAGTTTATTTTATCGTTTATGATTATTTTCACCTATAAAAATTTGGATAAAGGCTATTGTATTATCGGATCTTCTTATCATTACCGAAACACTAGCCATACACCTGGGAAAATCAGAATTGTGTCCATACGAAACTGGTTCAACCTATTTTTCTACTATAGTTTTAACCTGTAGAAATTGTCTTTCTTCTCTACACTTTTCTTCCTCCACAAACATTTGCTTTCGTTCTATCTTTTCTATAGACCTTTCACCCCCAAATGATTTGTTTCCGTTTCCATAATCTCTTGATAACAGTTCATAATGATTTTAACAATTTGTCTTATCATGATGAGCCTTCCTTTCCCAATTATTATCTTCCTATTTATCTTTATGACGGCCATTCAATGCCTTAACGACAAAACTGTTATTAGTTTCCCTGATAAAAAATAACATGTTGATGCTACCACGTTTAACAGAATTTTATTATCGCTATGATTGTAATTATTATCCTTTTGTAAAATAAGTATATAAGTTGTGTATACTACTTATGTCTTTGAACATAAGTAGTTTATAACACCGATCAGAAGAGCGGTGCCTGGTCTCAGAAGGCTGACAAAATCGAGTCAGAGAAAACAGAAAGCAAACTAGAAAGTAATGGTGAAATGGAAGAATCATACAGAATGTGAAAAGCAGTCGATTGAAGATTTGCCAATGAAGTATTCAATGCATGGTTCTCCTATTTTGTGAAGATATTCTGTAATTTTGCATTAAATAATTAACTGGTTGTCTCCACCGAAGTTCTCGGTTATTACATATATATTTGTGATTGTACGGCTTTGAAAATGAATACACCGAAAAGAGAACTATTCACTGGACCAATTTTTCGTATTTTGTAATCGCATGCACACACATGTATACAGATATTAATGAACATAATTAAATATAGATAGATTAAACATGTTTTATTCCTAATCAAATTAAATCTTAATGGAATTTATTAAGCTGTTTCATTTTTTTATTAATTTTATTCAGGGTGTTTCCAACTATTTGATAGCCAGTTTAGCTGTTGCCGATTTAATGGTTGCAACACTTCCAATGCCAGTAGCTGCTATCTATGAAATCTCTGAAGATTGGTGGTTAGGTAAGTTATGTTGTACTACATTTTACATATGCAATTTTAATTATCTAATCAATCAAATTAATCTAAACAATTTATGTTTGTAAGCCAAAATAAATGCCAAGTTATATTAATAGAAATAAATTACATATAAGCAAATATGTATAGTGGCTAGTAGTGGAATCCAGGGAGCATGTTTCGTCCTATCTCATAGTTAATGTTCACTCTTGGACTCGAACCCACTATCGTTCGGTCCAAACGCATTCGCTATCGAGTCTTGATAGCCATTTGCTTAGAATGCTTATGAATTAAGACTATATAGGGGCAATACACACAGTATACAAATATGTTAATAAGAGACTGATCAATTGTAGTCCTAAACATCAATGAGAAGTTTCAAGTGAACAATATCAATTGAATATAAATCACATATGTTGTTTGAAATATTAATTATGGTATTGAATAATTAGTTATCTTTACTTGATTTATTGTTTATAGGACTAAATAAAGAATAATAAATGATCGTTAAGTAACATGCACAGAAGTAACTATTCAGATATTATGGATAATTACATTGGATTATTGAACTGAAAAATTAACTTGCTTTAATTCAAGTTTACTACATCACTATTGACACTATAAACGTGACTGAAAGAATTCTACTAGAGTTTAGAAACATGACTTTTAGTTAGTCATTAATTAGCATATACTATACACTCGTAGTAACATAGATTATGTATACATGTATATACGAGTACTTGTTGATAGTGTAAGAAATGATTGAACTAATTGTGATTATCAAACGTTTTTTATAACTATTGAAAGATATTTAGGAATGAAGCATTTGTAGCCGTTGGTCATTTTGGACTAGTTAAAAACAGACATCCTATAAATCATTTGGATTTCCATCCATCCATCCATGTTTGTCGATAAGTGCTAATGAGCAAAAATTAAACTAAGACAAAATAAATATTCAATATCTTTTGGTTATGACTTCATGGAATAGTTTACCGAAGATTGGTTTGTTTTATCGTTTATATCAGTTACCAGTGAAAACCACGGGACACTAGACGGCTATTTCATCTTAGTTAGAACTCAAAAGGGCTAAACAAATTTAGACCTTCATATCGTGTAACATGAAATAACTGTCACCTATTCTATGCTTTTCGACAATACTTTAGATTTGTGTTGCAAACAATCTTTAATCAATAATTAAATGGATACCAAAAATACATCAACAGCAACAAAATGCAATTTATTTTACAGGTTATCAAATGGTCATAAAAGGTTGATTGAGATTAAATGTTAACACCAATAGTACCGTATAGCCCAGTGGTCTAGAAATTAAGCGTTCGCTCGCAAGACCGAAGGACTTGGTTTTGAATGCTGCGAGTGGGATCATGCATACTCACTGCTGCGGAGTCCTACAGGTTTTCAGTGGTGATCTGACATCAATCGGTTTATGGTCTTAATCAAAAACATAATAATCTCCACAACCCCGTACTGATGAAATGATTAATGGTTGTTTAACTTAATGTATACAATAAAATACATGAATTATTATTTTTTAAAAGGCTTTTTTATAGTGTAATAATGTATTTGACTTCGTCGGATTAAAAATACTGTTGATGAATCAATTTGTTATAGCTGTGACTTAAATGTCAAGGGTAATTAGTTTCATTTTTCATTTTAATATAAAAATGATATTGTTCCCAAAGATTACATTTGCGCATCTCTCCTTCCTCCCCCTCTCTCTCTGCATATATATATGTACTTGATAAATTTTGACAAGGCTGTTAATAGAAATACGTGAATTACCCTTGTTTACTTTTGGGTAGTGGATAAATTTTGTTGTATAATGGAATAATTTAGTTCAGCTTAGTGCTTTCATTGAGATTCGAATCAACTTATTAAGATAGGCAAGACACCCGTCCATGTAGCTGATACGTCTTGTAATTGAACGTTTAGACACTGAGTTTCTAAGCGCTAGAGGTTTCTAGAAAACATGTTATAATTAATAAAGGGTTGGTAGAATTCTCCTGGATGTTTTCGAACACCAATCCTTAAAACTTCTAACAGGGATTACTTAGGGCTTTGAAATGAATCCAAAATACAAAAAGGAAGTGATCTTTTCAGCTGTAAATCCCTGAACAACTAATAAGATTATAGACATTATTAAATATGATTAAAATTAAGCACTAAAACCCATCTTTAGAGTATGATATGAATTCGGGTGTTGAGCGATGCGATTCGAGACTGAAGTTTCATTTTATTTGACTCTGAAAATATTCCAATGTTTTGTATTGACTAAAAAATTTAGTAGCATGTTTATTATTAATATTATTATCATTATTACCTAATATTCTGCTACTTTAATTCAATCTATGTGTGGTAAACAAGAGTCGCTCAGTGGTCTTGAGTTCCGTTAGAGGTATGTAGGCGGTTATCACTTCCTGGTTGTCTACACCGTGGAAGGGTTCTTCTGCAGGTACCTGAAAAGGAAATTGGATTAGCGGTGGTCTTAGTGACCTGAGAGTGTGACCATAGTGCCCAAAGGACAGCTGCTTGAGGTCGGTCACACATGAACTTTTTGTGTGTAATTCTTGTGTTAGCTCCATACTTGTTGAAAGCTAACCGCCAGAAACGGAAATCCGTGGGGTAAGGTGAGGTGTGCATTTTTAGGGTAGACCTTTTCTGACCTCACCCCTCCATATGGGAAGGGAGCATCTCTGTTATACTGGTTGTCTGAAGGAAAAACCTTACTACCGTCACACCTATGTACAATCAGCAGTATGACTTTGCCCTCTGACCATGGGTTTGCTGTTTTTAGTTTTACTGTTCTTCAACCGACCTGTCTGGCATGGTAGGACATTGAGGAACGATTGTTCCAGCCAGTATAACTCAATTAGTTCATCACGATAGGTAAGCCAAACCACCACGTCATGGTAGCAACAACGGTCCGGACAAAAGTCACTACGCATTTTTTAAATTCGAACTTCAAGACTTATTTGATACTTCTAAAGATTCAAATGAAAGAAAACTACTTATTTAGATGGTTTGTGTAAAGTTTATTCGGTTTAAAAACGTTTTTCGTCGCAGCATTAAACATTTGACAAAGTATTAGAACACTAGTGAAAGTTTAAGATTAACCGATAGTCTATGCATATGATTGTTTACGAGATTGAATTTAAGACATTCATAAATAAATTAGTGAGACATATATATTTTATCTTGTCCAAAATATTGAATGTTGCATTATTTCTGACTTAGTTATTGACGATATGCTATCTTTGATTTATATTCGGATCATGTGAATATGTTATGGAAGATGTTCTAGATGAATTGATGACGCGGAATTTTCGATTGTTAACATCAGTAAATAGAATGTTAATCGATCGATGAATACAGTGATATAACCGAGTGTTAGCTTCTCACGAGACTGTATCATTAACTTAGGTTTACGTATGATTTTAAATAATAAAAACAAGACAGTTAACCAGATGAATAAGGTTTTGTGTGTGTGCTTGTGTACAAATTATAAATTCAAAATGAACATGATAAAATGTCTTAAATGATTAAAGGAAATCGGTTGTAGGTCACCAATTTTCTGATTGATTAAAACCCAACAGTTGGGCATAATGTTTAGGCATCGTATGATAACGTTTATTCAATTATATGTTATGCTGTCAGTTTCGAAGTAATTCTACTTGTTTAATACATCAACCGGTATATAGGGTATCAAGGAACTCCAAATACATTAAAAGATACGTTAAATTAGTTCAGTCTCGTCAGTGCTTCTCAATATCCAATCATTACTGTAACTCAATATTGAGGAGTTTCTAGTGTAGGTAGGCTTCGGCGGTCATCAGCAAGGAGTACTTTCAAGTTTGTAGGACTTGGTGTTACTTGTAGGATTCATATCTGAATCACTCAGTGGTCATATTTCAATTTCATTGGTATAATTCGATCAACACTAAGGTCTAGACAAATATAATGTTGACTACTACTCAGTGATTAACTAATGTACTAATATGTAGAATTTTTATAACTATTTAATTATATATGAGCGTAATACACCTTAAGACTCATTGTTCTATGAATGTCTACGATTAATGACTGTATGAAATGAATGAATGTTGATAACATTTTGAAGTTGAAATTGATTAGTAGTGTAGTGAACGAGAACACAAGTGAGGACAACCAAATGTAAAATATCAGTCAATCGTCTCAAATTCCATTGTTCCTTCTTCTCCACACTATTCATTCTTTATTCTCGTTCTCTTTTCTTTGATCTTCTCAACTTCTACTACGAGGAATTTCACTTTCAATTGGTGATACATACTACTAATACCTATTGACGTCAATAATATATACCACAGTAAAGGATTATGTTTAAAATAGATTACATCATAAAACGTTCCGAGAGTTCAAGCAGCAAAAAAAGTCACATATTCATCTAGGAGTTAGAGAAAAATAATGAAGGGATAAGAAATGTTTCTTATTGAGATTTAGATGGTAGTTAGAGGTAGTCAACAGGAAACCCTGGACCCGGGTTACGCGCTACTTGGCACTCGTCAGCAAGGTGTACCTGTAATCTTGAGGGAACTGATGCTCCCTGGCGGATTCGATCTCGTGTCACCCAGCTTCATAGTCAGAGACGTTACCACTGAGCTATCCGAGCCAGTGGCCAATCAATTGTGATTACATCTCAGTCCTACAGGAGGTCGGTCGCGGCACGGATAGCTCAGTGGTAAGGCATGTGACTGTGAAGCTGGGTGACACGGGATCGAATCGGTCAGGCAGCACCAGTTCCCTCAACATTACAGGTACACCTTGCTCACGAGTGCCAAGTAGCGCGTAACCCGGGTCCAGGGTTTCTTGTTGACTACCTCCAACTACCATCTAAATCTCAATACATAGTGCCCACAGTGTCGAGTCACCTAGACTGGTGGCCACATTGCAACATGATCGATAGCATTCGATCTGCACTAATAAGGACTAGACAAGCATGACATTGATCACCA